CCGCAACGATCGGATTGACCGAACGAATGAGATAAAACGGCTAAAAAGCCGCAACGATCGGATTGACCGAACGAATGAGATAGCAACGGTCAAACGACCGAGCAAGTTGGGTTGCAACGGTCAAACAACCGAGCAAGTTGAATTGAGGTGGTTATATAACCACAACGGTCGAATGACCGAAAAAGTAAAGTATCAGTATGGTCAAATGACCAGAACAGTAGAGTATCAGTATGGTCGAATGACCGAAACAGTAGAGCATGAGTATGGTCGAATGACCAGAACAGTAGAGTATGAGTATGGTCGAATGACCGGAACAGTAAAGCATGAGTATGGTCGAATGACCGAAAGGAGTAGAGTATCAGTATGGTCGAATGACCAGAACAGTAGAGTATGAGTATGGTCGAATGACCAAAAGGAGTAGAGTATCAGTATAAAATGCAACCAAAAGGCTGGGGGAAAGTAATGATTAAAAGCTCCGCAACCATGAAACATATGCAAGTGAGACAACTTTCACAGAAAAGATGATGGAAAATGAAGAGAGGTTAAGAAACTTCCCTGAACATGTGGTGGATGTCCTTACTTTGCAATAGTCAAGTATCCTCTGTGTTGTGCATTCATCAATAAGCTCGATGACATGCTTTGCATAAAGTTCAGTGACTTGAGAGCATCTCTAGTTCACTGGGGAAAATTCTCGAATCATTGCAAAAGAGGATAAGCACCATGACCATTGAATCAAGCTTTTGCTTTTCTCTGCAACCCTCATCTCATTTTCAGATTTGTCAAGGGATTTCAGTTAAATAAAGCAATTATATTGACTGCAATAAAGCATCATAACCAATCAGCATCCCAATCTAAACAAGGAAAAGAAGGCTAGGTCATGGATAATATGTATGGATAGAAAGAGATAAACATGATTTTTGAATTGCACAACTTTTGATGCAACAATTTTAATAGAGCTAGAAGGCATTCAGGCTATAAAGCATTTGCTTCAAGAATTTATTTCTTTGCAACTCCACCAATCCAGTCTTTAGCATATGAGATAATGTCTACTTCCATGCCAAGGTGGACAAATCCAATCTATCTCCTTCCCATGAACTAATCTTCAATGTTTAGAAGACCAATCATAAACCATCGAGCTGACTTGGACTCACTAGAGAAAGGATTTTTTTTTTTTTTTTTTTTT